CTGTATATTGATGCATATTATTTAAAATTCAAGATTACAATTAATTATGCATAAGTACAACTTATTAAAGCTCGATGTTTGAATTCGTATAAATAACTGTGGATAAACATAATCAAATAGATAATGAACATCTCATTTTAAAATATTAAAAATCTAAAATATAATTAAAATAATTATCGAGTTCCAACAAAATAAATAATTATTATCTTTATAAAAAAATTATATTAAATATATTTTACTTTTTATATAGTGGACTTGTACGTTGTAACATTTTTGTTTAATCGAATGTTTACTTTTAGATAATAAGATAATTTAATTTAGAATTAAATAAGAACTAATAATATAACATACCAAATTATTGGGGGAAAAAGGTGATACAAATATACTATTGAAAAGTTAAGAAGTTGTTTGACAGTTGCTGAATGGTTTGATGCAGAATGATTAAAAGACTCTCATGATATAGTGCAAAATGAAATATAACTGTTTAATAATTGTTTACAATGAAATCAGGATGTTGAATGATTAAGGGAGACACATGATACAAATCATTGAGAGAGTTTTGGAATCATTAAGAGGCAGTTTTTTTTGTCAAACAAGATTCACCTTTTAACGATTCAGAGGTTGTCTCTTAATGAAACTATTAAGAGGTAAATAAACAGCTTATGAATAATAAAAAATAAAAATAATGTACTTCGAATGTCCTATTTTCATATAAGAAGTGGTACAATAAGTTTAAAACGAACCAATGCTGTGCCATTTTTATACTAAAATGGTATAAGAACAGTACAATAACAATGACCATATTCAGAACATCTCCAACAACTATGTTATATTTATCTCTTTTATTCTTCTAAATTTGGAGATTTCTCCATTTTATCTCCTGTTCTTCTCCATTTTACAAAATAGTTTAGCATGCTTGTTGGAGTAAAATTTTCCATATAATATTTTATATACGAGAAATAGAACAAATAAACTCACACACCCTCCTCATTTTCGATGAGGTTTAAACTCCTTACCTTCTAATAGACCAGAGACTGACAGTTTGTTAATGGTAAATTTTGTTACAAGAAAGAGTATTGGAGTTCTTAATCAATAAGTCATTGTTGATGGTGGGGATTGGAGACAACTCAATTAAAGCATGAAGCTCTCCTACCAGTCTCTTTTTTGTCTTGTCCAACATAAATGGATTAATGGAAATTAATTGGGGGGTCTTATCTTTTTGGGCTCTTTTTAGATTCTAGTTTTACTTTCCACAATGTAATATCACATTGGTAAAAAGAATGAAGCTTTAAAGTGCTTTTTAAAAGGAAAAAAAGATCAATACTATTGTCACATTAGCAATACACACACACACACATATATATATATATATATATATATATATATATATACATAAACTTGGGATCACGTGAGACCACCTTTTTACACTTGAAACTTCATATCAAAACGCTATGAAGGTAACCTTTACAATGTTTTTTAACTTTCACAACATTTTGCTGTAAAGTTTCAAGTGTAAAAAAATTGTCTCACGAAAACAGGTTGGTCTCACGTGAATCAAACCCTCCCCCTCTCTCTCTCTCTCTCTCTCTCTCTCTCTATATATATATATATATATATATGTAGTGTGTGTTTTACATGTGAATATGTAAAGTGGATAGTGACACCATAAAAACCCTATCATGTCATGTTATCAAAATTAAAGTTTACTTCTTGTTATAATTGGCAATTTTTTTAAAGTACAACGCTTATTATTCTAAAAATCTCATTGCAACAGTCGAACAACAAAAATGATCTAATCCATAATTTAATTTAAAACCTACGTAGATTTAAATTCGAAACCAATTTTAGACGTTTACAAGTAGATTTTTGGTTTAATTCCAATGAAGATTGATTTTTAGTTTTAGATCCGCCATGATCAAGATTTGCTTGAACTCCAATAAGAAAAAGTCAAAGGGGTTTGATGAAATCTACCATTGGTGTTGCTTTGACTTGTTTTATTTTATCTCAAATATGAAAGCAATTTTATCAAAGCAAAGTGAACATCAAGAAGCTCCCCTTTTGAGGGGTTTTGACTTTCTTGTTACTCTTTTATATATATATATATAATATTGTATAAAGAAAAAGCACCTCTTCTTCTCTTTGTATGTAAATACTAAACAGCCTTTCTTCTTTTCACATTCCTTAAATCAAAATCATTGGAAATTAATTAATTAATCAAATATATTTATATTAATCAAGTGGAGTTTTTGGTCACTAGGTTTTGGAGTTCACATGTGAGATCACTATGTAACCTTGTGAAAAGGGTGAGCGAGTGCTTCCAACTCCATGGGCAATATTGTAATTTTCTTTTAACCTTTTTGGGTTAGATCAACCGGTAATAAAACTTGGACCTTTGAGAATTTTTTTCCATATGTTACTGGTTCGATTTCTATAAAGTCATTGAGGATTTTCGTGATTAATCTTTAGGATTAATTAAGGTGCACGCAAGTTGATCCAGACATTCATGATTAACAATATATATATATATATATATATATATATTTTGTAATTTTTATAGTATGATTAGATTGAAAGAAAAGGCATCTTGAGGTCAATAATTGGGATTGGGATGGTGGAGAATCTTATTCCTTTGGCTTGGATTGGAAAGGATAATATTTCATCTTATGATACACCAATAAAAACAAGAAAAGAACCCTAAACTTTATTGACACCATTTCCATTTTGGTAGGTTTGGAAGGGTGAAAATGGGATTTCACTTTGGAAGCAGAGGGTAAAATGGTAAATGGGGTGAAGGGACCAGAAAATAATAAGAGATAGAGAGAGACAGAGAGAGACGAAGCTTTACAGCTAGAAGATGCAATAGCAATAGCAATAGCAATAGCAATAGGAAACATTTGGACCCCTTTGCCTTTTATCATAAAAACACCCACATCCCCTTTATTTATTATTGCTCTATCAAACAAGTTTAACTCTTACACATTCACTCACTCATTCATTTAAGTTTCTGTGTTTTTGGTCCAACTCCTCACATCTTGAAACTTCACTCACTAATTTAAGCATTCTTAAGATCATTTTTTATGTATGAAGTATTGTTTATTAATATATATATTCTTTATGCATAAAATACTGTTTATTAATCTATTTGACAAATACTGTTGAAAATCGTTGTTTAACCATTTTAGTTGTTATTTATGCTTTGGTTTTTTCTCTAGATTTCATCATTCCAACCATGGTCTAGTCTAGGTCTAAGTCAAATAAACAAGCCATAATCATAGTTTTATGTAATCATTATATCCCAAAAGATCAAACATCGTTATTGAATATTTTATGCACCACTTTTTTCCATGTGAGTGAGGGTACAACTCTCTCTAGTCTACACCCTTTAATTACGCCCTTCCTTCCTCCCTCCCTCCTCTACTTTTCATTTACATTTTCTTTTTATAAATACAACCAACACATTTATAGATTCTCATATGGGGGGTCCATTTTCAGTTTCAGCTGGGGGTGGAATGGTAATTTTCATCAGAAATGGATAAACATATCATGAACCAAACATTCAGCCTTCTTCTGGTTATCATCACATTCACACACAACCAAAATCTTCAAACAACACCCAGGCCCCCACATCTTCATTTATGTCATTTCCACCCACTCAATGGTAGATTTATAGGTTTTTTGGATAACCGTGAGTTTTCAGATCAATTTATAGACTATCCATAATGACCTGGAGTTATGACAGGTGAAGCTCGATACAACACAACCCAAGTGGTTGGGTTCATAGTTTATTGATATCAACATAAAAAGAGTGAAAGGAAAGAAGGGTATATAATATAAATAAATACAAACAAAGTCTGGAAGGACAAGATTCACACTTGCTAACTAAAGATTTGGGCCATTACACTAAAAACAACTAGCCTCATCTAATTTACATTGTCAATCAATTAAAAAAAAAATAAAACAAAACAAAACAAAACAAACCAAAAAAAAAAACGAGGATACTCCCTAAAAACCGCATCCTTACCGTTCTTATATAAGTTTGTATAATAATTAAATCATTTTTTTTAATTATAACAATAATAATAAGACATCAATATAAAAGGAGGGTATTACCAAGATCGTGTTTGGTAGTTAAATGAGTCCAATCCAGGCTCCTGCAAGTATAACAGAATTATATCAACTACAAAAAAAATCCCATCTTTTTTATATTCGTTAAATCACTACTCCAATATATTTTACGCTCAGTGGTATGTGAGTGAAAAGGGGGAATAAAATGTAAGTGATCCGAGTGAAGAGTGCATGTGGTATGTGAGGGAGTAGGGTATGAAATACGAGTGGTTTGTGAACAGAGGGTATGAACAACCACCCCTTTACTGAATTATTAGTAGTTAGTGGAAGGGGGCCAAAAAAAACTCCTATTTGAATCCCTTTAGCTCAATTTATAACATTTGAGCAAAAGGTTGATTAGATACGATCTAAACCGGTCCTACACAGAACTTCGCCCCTAGAACCACATGTGAGAAGACATTTCGGACCTGACTCAACAGTCAAGTCGAGGCTTGCGGAGGGGTTCAAACTCGTCTCCTCATGATTCGCCCCTATCTCAACTGAACTACACGTCCAAGGACGCCTAAATTATAATATTTAGACAAAAAGTTAATTACCCACAACTCCAACCAACCTCATATCAAATCCTGTCTTCAAAGACATCAGAGACATTTTTTAGTTACAAGAGGTCTGAAATCAAATCCAACACCTTATATTTGGACAAAGTGGACCCACCCATCAAATTATACCGTTGAAAACGTAAAAGTGAGGTTTTTGGCGTAGATTTATGTAAATATGAAATTAATAGGAAACATTTTAATCAACAAATTAATTTTTAATAAGTATTTTTGGAAGTATATGAAATTTGGTGAAATGTGAATGAATTAGATGCGGATCACGGGATCAAATTTCAGGAGTCATGTGAAAGCAATAGAAGAGTGATAGGTGGCCAGGACTTAAGATGGGACCCACATGTAGACCACACCACGTGATAAGATGTGGGCCCCTCGTTTTGCCTTTTGGTGGGGTTTTCCTTCAGCAGGTCACATTTAATGCTTCAGGAATCAAGGTGGTCAATACCAGACGATTTATTGCTTAAAGGGCACTTTCGTCATTCTAACTGCACATATATCCACGTCACACTTTAAACCTAGCAAAAAAAATGCTTACATGGCATCGCCTCTGTCGGTAACCTTTACCTACGTGGCATTACTAACTAACACGTGTATTTTAAATTATTTTTTAATTTAAATACTTATCAAAAATAAATTTACCTTTTTTTCCATTTGGCGGGGGTTAGAAACTTTTATTTTTATTCCCTCCAAGTCCGGCTGAATATATTCTTCAGCCGGTTGCCGGAAAGTCTATGTAACGCTTTTTTAGCTCCGGCGACGTCGATTTCGTTCAGCCTCTGTAAATGACCTTGTGCACCGGCATCTACCAGCCTTTTCCGGCAACCATTGCTTCCTCCGGTCATCAAAGCGTAGACAATCGCAACCGGAAATTTCTTTGGCACCGATTCATTCGTTGGATCCAGCATCTGAATCAGTCTCATCATGTTCTTTTCGTCCTTTACGAATTCCTTCCTGTTCGGTTTCACCGTCAACAAAGCAACTAAAGCTTTCACCGCCGCTTCTTGTAAGCCTGCCGGTTTAGCGAATTCCGTTAGCTTCATCAAAGATCCCATACATCCGGCGATTGCGCGCTTGTTACCGTCGCTTATCGACAAATGAGCTAAGATGGAGGTCGAGATTTGTTGTAGAGTGAAATTCCCTTGTTTGATGAGTCCCGAGATTTGCGTTATGAACATGGATGATGAAGATAATAACCGACAAACAGAATCTGAGGCTGAGAGGGAGTGAATTGCGCGTAATACGTGTTCTATCGTATCTGGATTTGAAGATTGGTGAAGCAATTGTAGTAGCTTTTGCAAACCTTTCTCTTGTATTATGAGAGACCTAAAATACTCGCTCGATGATGCAAGGATTGAGATGCAATTGGCTGCCTTCTCTTTTGAAGCCGGAGCACCAGACGACAGTAGTCCAACTATAACCGGCACGGCGGCTTCTTCACCTAAACAGATGCGAATATCTTCAACGGAAGCCACGTTTCTAATCGCACCTATAGCGTGAGATTGCGCTGTTAATGAACCAGACCTGCAGACATCAAGGAGTATCGGAACACCGCCGTAGGCGGAAATCGCCCACGCATTATCAGGGTCGGCGGTGATTGCTTCCACGGCCATGGACGCCTTTTCCTTCAATTGAAGCGAACCGGATTCAACGATTCTCAACAACGGCCCTAGTCCACCTTCCTCGAAAACCGTTTTTCTAGACTGATCGCTTGCGCAGGCGAGGATGGATATCGCAGAGACAGACTGTTCTCGATGAGTGTTCACATCAAATAGATTAATCAGATAGCCAATATTACCTTCCTTAGCAACTAACGTCGCTGCTTTCTCGTCTTCTACGAGCAATTGAAGAAGAGATTCCAACGCCTTTCTCTTGAATTCCACCCCTCCGATCTGCAATCTCGTGAAAAGATCTCTAATAAAAAAACTCAAATCTTCTTTAGCCGAGCCAGGGGCGGGTTGAGAGAGAACAATCGCGTTGGACTGACGAAGAACGCCAGAGCGAAGTAGCAAATCGAGGTCATGAAGCTGTTTAGCGAGCCAACCGGTGGCCATGTCAAGATCGCTCTGCATAAGAAGCTTACCAGCGGTGTAAGTTGGATCGGTGCATTGGTCGCATAGGGTTTGAATGCGGCGGAGGGTGGATAGGAGGTTAGGAAGCAGCGTTAGGAGGAGTTGGTTTTCCGACCAGTGGGTGGAATAGGAAAGTTCAGAGAGAAGGGACTTGAGAGTAGCGAGTTTAAACCGCAAAACTTGCCAGCGGCCGGGGAAGGAGTGGATGGATAGAGAAGCAGGCAGAAGGTGACAGAGAAGGGCGGTGGTTTGATCAAGGGTTTCGGCAGGAGACGGTGGCGGAGCGACGGCGGAATGCATCGTAAGATGGGGTTGAATTCTGGTCAGCGATTGGGGGTAAAAGAAGAATGATGAGAGATGGAATTGGCGTGGAAGGGAAGAGGAGGGAAAGGAAATGGGGGGAGGGACACGAGAATGGAGAAAAGTGAGGCTACCAAGAAAGGTGTGGGGTTTTAGGCAGGGAAGCACGTGAGCGCGTGGCGTGGGCTCGTGGGCTTGGGTTCGTTTTTGTTATTTTGGGCCAGATTAAATCAGCCCAATTAAATCTTTTATGTCATGGGCCTCTTAAACTGCTTCATAATGGGCCTGGCCGAATTGGTGGGCTGCCATTGATATTCTCTCTATTATGTCTGGAGTCTGGATGACTCCTCTTCTAAATTACGTTGTGAGGGATAGATATGACAGAACAAAATCCAACGTCTCGTTTTAAACGTGACATTGGATAAACAAAAACTTACTATTATACATTTGACACGTTATGAGATAGGGTGGAACAAAGAATGACTTTTTTTTTGTTCCACCAAAATAGGTGGAGCAAATTGAAACAAGGAAAAGACATAAACTAAAATATTGTTAATTTACGCTCATTTGATATAATATGGTATTTGTTTTAAGGGGTGTTTGGGATTGCTTATGAAAACTAATTGTTGGCTTATTTCGGTATGGTATCGGTAATAAACAAATTTAGTGTTTGGATGGGGGAAAAGAAATATGTTTATACTGGTGTCAAACCGTTAATAAGGAGTTTTTGATAAGTTGCTCCTCTTTAACTTATCAGATTCAACTTATTAGGTTTGGAAACCAATTTACCTTTTTAACCTCATACACCTCCTTCCTTTAAACAGTTCATATGCCTCCATCCTCAAGCAACCAGTTCATTAAGGGACCTTCAACCATTCCTTAGAAATCGGATCAGTTCCAGAAATTGAACCAAATTTCTTACTGTGATTTCTTCTGCATCAACAGATCCTGATCGAGACTTTCACCTACAGAGATCGAAATCGCACATTCGATTGAAATCTTCACCTACATAAATCAATCGAAACCTTTGCCTACAAAAATCAGAATCGAACCTTCCATTGAAACCTTCAATCTATTCCTACAGAAAAATCGAAAAATGGTTTAGGGTTCTTCCTTCGGGATTACTTTCTAAAAAATTTAGGGTTATTTCTCACATAAAAGACCTTCGACAATTCCTCCTTTCTCACGTCTTTTTTGGTCATTTTACATGTATAAAGCAAAAAATTTGCTACATACAAAAAAACAACTTATCAACTTATTTCGTTTTAATACCACCATAAGTTGATAAACACTTTTACTAAAAAAACATAAATTGCTTTAAATAAGCAATCCCAAACACCCCCTTAATAATCATCATTGACAACCACCGTCGACCACCTCCACTACTACAACCTACTCCACCATTTCCACCATCAGCTAACACTACCGCTACCCACCACCACCTTTACCTTCACCGTGCCTCTTGTTCACCACATTTACATTCTCTATAGTCATCGTTGTCCACCACCTCCACTACCACCACCACCATTTCCACCTCCAACACATCAGGCACGACTAACTCATCCACCATTGCTGACTACCATCACCGCTATCTATCATCTTCACATACTTCACAGTCTCCGTCTTTTACCGGCCACCACCGCCTCTACTCTCACCACCATTGTCGCTACAACAACCTTTACCGTGATTCTATCATTTCATAAGAATGTTCCAAATTGAATAAAACATTTCCTTTGTATGAAACGAGTTTCTTCAAAATACCATCGATTATATCAAATTCTCCATTCAAATATGGTACTATTATTTATGTATATGGAAATTGTGTATAAATGCTTATAAATTAAATTATTAAAAAACTTACTTGATTTGTATCATTTATAACTACTGTATGATATATATATATATATATATATATATATATATATATATATATAGGGAAGGGTTCAAACGAGAACCCCTGTGATTTACGAGAACTCAAGAACAACCCAATAATCTCATATTGTGATAAAAAAATAAAATTAAAAGATTTTTAAAATTTAAATTTAAATTTAAAAAGATTCAAAAAAAWTTAAAATTAAAAGGGTAATAATGGAAATGATATCATCAAATCTTTTAAACACGATCATTATCTTTTAAACACTCATTATTATCATTAGTCTTATCATTATCTAGTAAAATGGTTACGAAATAGGTTAGGATTATACTAGGTGTGATAATCATGTGATATGAGTGTGATAATCATGTGATAGGGTGTGATAATCACCATTATACATCACTGGGGTTATCGTTTTGGTTAATAAGTTAAAATTTTGGTGTAATCATGTGATAGGGGTGTRATAATCATGTGATATGAGTGTGATAATCACCATTATACATCACTTGGGTTAACGTTTTGGTTGATAAGTTAAAATTTTGGTGTCATCATGTGATTTGGGTGTGATAATCATGTGATAAGGGTGTGATAATCACTGTTATACATCGCTTGAGTTATCGTTTTGGTTGACAAGTTAAAATTTTGGTGTAATCATATAATATGGGT